TATATATATTCTATTAGTATTATTTTACCAATATAGTTTTGCAGCATTTTTATTTCTAGCAGTTTTTATTCCAATCTATCTTTTCACAGTCATTTTACTTCATAATGGTGTTTTTCCAAACGGCTTATTTCATAATACTTATAAGCAGGATGACTGACATTCAAATAATGATGTGCATATTGTTATTTCACAATTATATTGTCACATTATATATCTATTATTTGTACTTATTTCATGTTTATTTATTTCATTATAAACACTGCTTTATTTTTTACTGAAAGTCTAAGAGCTTAGGGATAACAGAGAAAATAACCCTTTTTTTCAGCACATTTTTTGGCTGCAAAGAAAAAAAAACATCTCTCCACACTTCTTCCACAGCAACTAAACACATATTAAATGTGCGTTTATTTCCAGCAGAATGAGTTTCATGCATGCTTTCCTGAATAAAAATAATAATAAAATAAGTCAGTGTTGCGCCTCATTCACAAAAAAAAAAAAAAAAAAACTGTAGCACAACCTGGCTCTGCAGTGCTCTATTTCATTATGTTATGTAACAGCGACGTTTATTGGCAGAGCGAGCATGTCAGAAAAAGAAATTCCCGTGCATTATAAATGAAACGGGTGCAGTTGCACAATTTGAACACAGGGAGGCGCAATGACGCAAATGTTGAACTGCTTATTCAGCAAATGAGGGTGAAAAAAAATTAGTTTGTCAGCAGTTCAACTTTTTAATGCATGACCTACAGAATAGTGGCAGAATGTATGCATGTTTACCCAATTTCCCTCTGGGATCAATAAAATATTTTTTAATTTGAATGTTTTGTTGAAATATTGCTAATAAGTTAATTAAACAAGAGCATGAAGTACTCCAAAACTACTCAAGAAAATTTGTTTTACCATTGTTGTAACATGTCAAAATTGATGATTTTAGTCTAAACCTGCTGCTAAAAGGTGTCATAAAAACAATGAAAGTCTCAGATCATCTTCTCATATAATAGCAAAATTAAGAAATATACACTGTTTATTTTTAAATTTTATTCCTCTTACAAATAAATTGGAAAAATAAGTGGCAGGATTGTTGAGGTATTAAATCAGAAGAAATTAATTTATGAAATAAACAAAAGGAAAAATAGCTACATCTGCATTCATTCCCTTACATTCTGAATCCACAGAACATCGACTAATAATTTTACACTTAGTAAAACCAGAGGACGTTCAGTCAACGGTGAGCAGAACAATTGATATCAACAATAAATATACAGTTTGATGAACTGTAGCACTTCAGCAAACATCACCGGATCTGGTTCCTGCGGTTTTGATTAAAAAAATAAAATAAAATTATTAGTCTTGGTCTCCTGAGGTTTGGTCGAAAAACCGAGAAAAKATGTGCAGAAGAATGAGTTGGTTATGAAGTGGAAGCTTTGAGGTACGCGATGAGGTCGGCGCGCTCGTTCTTCTTCTTGATGCCAGCGAAGATCATCTTGGTTCCTGGAATGTATTTCTTTGGGTTCTCAAGATAAATCATCAGGGTCTCTTCGTTCCAAATAATGCCTGGAATTACAATGAAGAAGAATGTCCTGATGCATCTCAATAATCCAGGTAAAAAATCAAAAAGAAAAAAATTGTATAGGTCTTCTGGACCGGTTCTTCTC